TAGCCCCTTGAGCTTTAAAGAAATAAAAAAGAGGACCCTCCATTTAGAAGACACTGGACATTCCACAGCTGCACAAGCACCCTTTGAAGATGCCCTCACCACGGCGAGGTGTGAAAGCCCCATGGGGCAGGGACTTGTCTGCTGGCGCTCGCCGCTGGAGCCGAACCCTGGAGGAGCACCTGGGACGGAGAGGCTGTGCAACAGTTATGGAAAGAATGAATGAATGAATGAATGAACGAACAAATACACAGAGGCAGGATACTTAAAAGTGGGTGGGGTTTGGGCAGCTGAGGGGCATACCAGAAAGAGTACCGGGTCCCGGCCAGAAGACTCCGCTCCAGTCCCTGTCCTTCCAACTGCCAGCAGGACGTCCCCATAGCTGTGGCCTGCACTGCGAAATGAGGAGCTTGCACAAGACAGTCCAAGCACTTCCAACTCCCAAGCTGAGGGTTCCAAGCTCTGCGTGGTCTTGCCCAAGTCTCACCTCCCTCACACAAAGATGCTGGCTCAGTGAAACTGACCTCAGTGATTCCGAACAGCCCTCGGGCACTTCCTGCCTCCAGCACTTTCTTCACATTCCTCCTTCTCCCCAGCTCCCAGAAAGCCCAGGAGAAACCCTCAACGGAGGAAATCAATGGAAGACACCCCCCCACCCCAACTCAAATGAGCCCTCCCTCCTTTTCTCAGAAGCCATCACCACCTCGTGACCACTGTCTTCATTTTGTATGTCTGTCTCCCAACTCCCAGAAAACCTGGGTCTCCATCCACCTTCGAGAACACAGGAGGCCAACAATCTCTGTAAATATTTCTTCATTTTACTGGATTTAAATGGGAATTACTGAATTCAGGAGAATTTAACTGTGCTTTAATCCATCAGAGTAATTTTACTGAATGTATTGGAAAGGCAACCAACATTACCAAAGGACCTAGGCTAGAAGAAGCTCACCAGGCTCTCCAGGTGGCTTTTAACATTTAATGCCCGACCCGCAGGTTCCTGAAGCAGAACCTACCAGAGAGGGTGGAACACGTTATTTCCACTTCCAAAATCAGAGTGAAAAGGGAGGAAAGGAAACAGAGATTTCTAAACATCCGGGATCTATTTTCAGAAATGACTTTTCCATTCACTTTTCTTAAAAAAAAAAAAAAAGATACTAGGCCAAGAATAGACCAAGAAATGATTGTTTATCATCTAAATGGACAAAGATTCTTCCAGGAGCCCACCCCTTATGGCCTTAAAAGCAAGACACTCCCCCATGTTCATACAAACAGTACCAATAATCTTTAAAACATGAAAAACGGAGAAATCATTGTCTGTTTATCAGAAAGTTTGTACAATCCAGAAATAGAGTCTGTGGAGTAAATATAGTAAACCTCCTATTAATTAATACTAAATAAAGGTCGCAAGAAGGTGGCAATGATGTCATCCGGCTCGGTTATATGGGGCTCCGGCCTGGCAAATTCCCAAACCATGGATTGTTTTCTCCATAAAACAACAGCCTGTTCAAAGGAATGTTAATATACCATAGAATTTCTCCAATTGGAGGTCAAATCCCATCTCGAGAACAAATGGGTCCCTGAAAGTTTATGTCATGATATAATCTGGGCCGTCCACCATCATCAGGACCATTTATATTCTGCTTTGATCTCAAATGTGATATGGTCCACCATCCTTAAGCTGCTCGAGGCTGGCCTTCCAGTATTGTAATCTCAACTGAGCTCCAAGAAGCAGAACATGAAGTTTCAATCACTCAGTCCATCTACAGGGTAACATCAACACAATCGCACAAGAAGCGCACATATACACAACTGTCAAAGGCACTAAATTCTTCCAAAGGAGGTGAATATGTTCTTCCCATGTTTTCTGCCTAAATAGCAAATATCTTTGTATAGAGTGGTCACTGAACTCCGAATTAATATACGTAGAATACATACATGTAACTAATGGAAACCACACAAGACTCACCCAAAGAAACTACCAGCCATAGAAACAATCAACTTTATATTTTTTTAACAAGGTCTTTGGGTACGATTCGCAGGAAACTATGAAAATTATACAGACAGTACTGATCGGCAGAGATAGTGAATTGAAGCCTAAGGCAGGTTCAAAATCAAACCAAAAAAACTTTGTTTTGAAAATGCTGAGATTTTTTTATACATCTGTAGCCACATCTGTAAAGATTATTTCCTTAGGCTTGCAATCTTTTGGCTGTGACCTGAGAAAGAAATTACAACTCCAGTAATTCACCAACACACCCTGAGCTGCCAATATCAAATGTTGTTAAACACAACATTGAATGGAATCACTATAAAACTCTATAAGAGGGGCACCTGGGTGGCTCAGTCGTTAAGCGTCTGCCTTTGGCTCAGGTCATGATCTCAGGATCCTGGGATCAAGCCCCGCATCAGGCTCTCTGCTCTGCAGGAGGTCTGCTTCTCCCTCTCCCACTCCCCCTGCTTGTGTTCCCTCTCTCCGTCAAATAAATAAATAAAATCTTTGAAAATAAATAAATAAATAAAACTCTAGAAGAGATTATTTACAACCCTTGGCCCTCGGTTACTTTGCTTACAGGAGCATACCTTACGCTATTATAGCTTTTACTAAATTGTATATGAAATAATGGTTTAAGTCAGCAACAATTTTCGCCTCACCTACTACATTCATTTAGTCCTTCCTAATTTCGTTTTCTTTACAAACCTATTTATTTATTTATTTATTTGCCACTCTCCTATCAGTTCTCTGGAAGCTGGAGAAAGTCCCTGAACACCGTCTTCCAGTTGTGTGAATTAAACACAACTCCAAAAGGGTTTTAACTGTCAGATGCACATGGAGAAAATGTGCTCCGACAAACAGTTTTTTCCATATAATAAAAATCAGTTACAACTTTAAGGGATAATCAGTCACCCACAAAAATCGGCAAGGTTCTGTTTTGAAAGAGGAAGAAGAATGGCTATTACACCATTCGCCATTTACACCCTTCTGTAGACTCCACTTAAATGTTTGTGGCTTGCTGAGCATTCCATACATATTTCGGGCAAGGTATTATGGGAGCTGAAGTACAAGCTGTCCCCTACTGAATTTTCACTCACTATAAAAACAATGTCCCATAAAAGTATACACATGTTTTTACTTTATAAAAAATGTAAAATATGCGCTTTTGTTCACTCTATCAACACTTTAACATTAGAAACGGGACTTTCAAAAAATCTCTAACGCAAGTGATGTCTGAAAAGGGTGAAAATGTCATTCAGTAACACAAACGGATTTCTGGAAAAAAGAACATAGGAAACGTGTACGAAACACACAGAAAGGAAGATTCTACAAGCTGACTCCTGTGGGGTCTGCTCACCTATGTCCTGGGTCATACCATTAAAATGGAAAGTTGCACATTTATATTTTTCATCTTGAATCCCCACTGCAATGTAACCACAACTGTTTTATATTACTCTCATAAAATGAGCCTTAGCCTTTTCTAAGCCAAACAGGATTTTTAATTGGTTCATTTTCCAGTTGTTTGGGTTTTTAACAGACATACAGCATAAAAGGGCGCTCCGTTCCAAGCAGTTCTACCAATTCCAGAACCATCCAAGGCTTGATCAAACAGCTGTGGCTCTAGCCTTTGGTTAAAATTATTATATGATCTCACCTGATTTTCAAAATAACTAAGCATCTTTTTAACTCATAAAACTGCTAGGATTTATCTAAGTTTCTGGGTCCAGAAGTTAGCTGTGTTCAGGGAGAATGTCAGGGAAACACAATCATTTTGCTTTGTTTTGTTTTTCCCTATCTGAACCCAGAGAGATCCTTCAAACAATAATCCAACAGCTTCCCTCCTCCAAAGTTTATTTTCAAACGCCAGGGCCATGCAGCGCCGCCTTTCCTGTGCAGGTAAGGAGGAGGCAGGAGCAATGTCATCGCACTGAGCCTTTTCAAGTCTTAAAATCACCGGGAAGCCTGCAGCATTTCCTTTCTGGAACCCAGGCCCAGCGCAGGGATAAGTTGCTCCCGACAGGACAAGATATCAGGTAACCACTAGAAACACTTGGTTTCAACAGAATTCCCAATTACACACACACACACACACACACGCACGCATCTCTCCAAAAAAGCAGAACCACTGAAACCAGCCATCACACAGAAAGTTAAGGAAAAGCATCATTACGCGAACTTAATTAAATGCAATCTGGTAGTGCTAGAAGATTCCATTTTTTACTCCATGGGATATAGTCACATGAATAATAAGACAACTTAGCGCCCTATTCACATCTTGCACAAAAAGGAAACCTGAAATTCAACTCTTGTTTTTCGTTTACTCTAAAAGCATATGGGTCTAATCATATTCCATTCTGGCTGCGGTACACTAGGCTATTTCAATCAGAATTTTAACTCAGTTTTTAAAAGGCGCTAAAGAGCCACCATCATAGTCTGGGAGCAGGCTCTCCCAACTGCAAAAGAACTGGAAATCCCTGCAGTGGCCCATCTGGCACCAGTCTTTGGATGGAAACTAGGCTGAGCCCGCCAGACAAGGAACCCACACCACGAAGCTGGAGCGCACGTTTACGCTCCAAGATGACAGCTCATCTGGCCACCGCGGGGCCCGGGGCGGTGGGCCGCTGAGGCCCGGGAGGGATGGGCGAGGCCGCGGCGGAAAAAGGAAAAGAGGGCCATCCGTCAGCCCTGGGAGAGGAAATTCCAGGCGCCCAGCTTCCAGGCGCCGGTCAGCGGGTGACGTGAGGGAACCAAGTCACTGTGTCGGCCCCGCAGCGGGGGCCGGGAGGCGGCCGGGGCTCCGCACTCCGGGGGCTCGAAGCCGGAGAGGGGGCGCTCGGTCCTCGTCCAAGGCCCCAGGGTAGGGGCGTGGGGCGCCCGGATCGTGGCCGGGGCCCCGAAGACACGCGATCTTCGCCCAGACCCGGAGGCCTCCCGGCGTCCTCGGTCCCCTCCCAGAGCCCAAGGGATGGAGCGCCCGGATCCCGGCCCCGGTCCGCGCCCCCGCCCTTACCGGTCGCGGGGGTCGATCCACGACGTCTGGCGCGTGTTGTGGTCGATGTAGAAGACGCGGCCGTCGTAGTCGCGCGCCTCCTCCCAGCCGGCGGGCAGCGGCAGCTCGGCGCTCTCCCGGGCCCGCGGCGGCGGCGGCGGCGGCGCGGAGGGCGCGGGGGGCGCGGGGGCCGCGGCCGGGGGCGCGGGCGGCGGCGGCTCCCGAGGGGGCTGCGCGGGCGGCGGCGGCTCCCGCGGGGCCTCCCGCGGCTCTCCCCGCCGCCGCCGCCGCCGGCCGCCGCTCAGCCACGGCATGACCGCACGGGCCCCGCCGCCGCCGCCCGGCCGCCCCGCGCGCGCCGCCTCCTCCGCCAGCACTAAGGCCCGGCGTCCGGGGCGCGGGGGCGGCCGCGGGGAGCCGCCCGCCGCGCCCGGTGCATCCTCCGCCCGGCGCCCGTGCACCGGCGCCCGCCCGCCGCCCGCCCGGCCCTGCGCGTCGTCGCCCGCACTGCCCGCTCGCCCGCCCGGGTCGCTCGGATCGCCGCCACGCGTGGAGTCACAGCCCCGGAGCCGCCACCGCCGCCGCCACTGCTGCCGGCGGCCCCTCGATTCCCGCGGCGCGCCCGGCCATCTTCGTTCCTCCGCGCGGCCCGGCCGGGAGGGGCGGGGCGCGCGCAGGCCCCGCCCCCCCGCTGCTCCGCCCCCTCCGCTCGGCCCCCCTCGGCTACACCGGCCGCCTAGCTGCTAGTCCTGCAGGCTCCCTCCGCTGCTCCGCCTCCAAGCTCCCCCGGGGCTCCTCGGCTACCCTCTCCTCTACCCCCGGCGCCCCCACCTCCTCCTGCTGCTGCTCCTCCGGCTCCCCAGCCGGAGGCTCCTTCTGCCCCCAGCCGCTGCTCCTCCTTCTCCTTCCCCTCCCGCGGCGCGCGCTCCTCCCTCTTCCCATTCCACCACCTCCCTCCTCCCGCTTCGCCGGGAAACCGCGCGGGGGCCAGGATGGGCGCCGCCGCGTCCGTCCGCCCCCGGGCCACCGCGGAGAGGAAGGAGGGCCGGGAGGACGGCACCCCACCCGAGCTGCAGGCGCGGCCCGCCTGGGGCTGCCTCCTGGGACCCAAACAATTCCCCGGGGGAGAGGGCGGTCCCCTCACTTTACCCGCTCCCAGGCCTTGGAGGTCTGGGAGCCTCCCCTCTGCGCACTTGGGGTGAGGGGAACTGTGCCTTGGGTCTCCCGAATACCCAAGGTGGTCCCGCGAAGTGCGGTAAAGCCCCGGAGGGGAGGCCGAGGGAGTTCGGGTAGCTGGAAGAGGTACCGGTGGCCAGTCATCTTGGGTGAAGCTGGGAGGACACACCTGGAAGCGGGGAGCTGGGCAGGTGGCCACTTATGCATCCCTGCCAGGAGAGCCCCAGAAGGGCTGATCCCGAGTCCCCTCTCTGGGCCAGGCCCCCTGACCTGCCTTGAGCTCTTCCACCTTCCAGACTGGAGGATCTGATAGTTTGAGCAGAGACCCAAGTAGGCCACTGCTGGGCAGGAAGCCAGGTCAATTCCTAAACCTCGAAACCCCGATGGTAACTTATGTTCCACTCGCATCTCAAGCTGGGGAAACTGAAGTCCAGCTTTAGGGTTCTCTCTTGCTCCAAGTGTCCAAGCTACTTAGTACTCCAGTTCCCTGGCCGTGAGACTTAATGCCAGGAAATGCAGGAAAGTATCAGGAAGGTTTTAAAGCACTATTATGGTGATATAAAAATAGCTAGTAAAAAGTCAAACAGTGATCCAAATCTAGATACATAGGAGAAGAGACTAAAGGAAAACCTTTCAGAACGCTCACGGTAGTTTGCATTCCTTCAGTGAGATGGTTTTTTAAAAATTATTTACCCTCCAAATCGTAAAATGGTAATATTACTTTTATAAGGGGGAAATGTTTTTAGAGACTGTGAAGGCATGGAGACTGCTACCTGGGACATACCCGAGGAAGGTCTTTCCTCCCCTCCTCCCACCACAGCACAGAAACTGCCGTGCTCCCCAAGTATCTGCCCCCACCCAAAACTTATATGCCGGAAATTCCACCACTAGGGTCCAACAAAAAAGCAAATACTTCCTGATCTTGCACATTCCAGGGGATGCCCGAGTGCCAAGTCTCCCTGCTCTGACATCTTCCCTCCTAATTGGCATGAGAGCTGCCACTGTCTTTTCTCTCTCTTCGCACCCACCCCGCAGTCACTTTGCCACCCAACGTGGCCGGGCTGAAGCTGCGTTCCCGCCCTCCCAGGCATCACGTCCTTTCAGAATTTCACAAATCTGGGTACTGTCACTCAAATCTGCCCTGAATGGGGCTGGGGTGTGTTAGAGTGAAGCCAGGCTCTACAGAGAGAGGAGCACACCCACACATCATGAAAGGCAAGAAGAGAAAGTATCAGGTAGAGAGTAAGGGGGGTGGGGGGCATCCAGTTAGGAGCTGAGAGGCAAGCTAGACTGGCCTTTCCCTGAGGATGGGAGGCCTTGCGTACCGGGTGGGACTGTGCTACAAGCCCGGGGCTGGGTGTTGGCATGCTGCAGAGAACAAGATAGATTCTGTGCACGCCCCCACGCCACGAGGCACTTACAACTGTGATTTGTCTACAGATGAAGCCCGGGTTCCAACCCCAAATTGAGGAGGCAGGGAGGCCCGTGAGACTCAAAGGAAGATGCCTCAGATGCGGAAACTGAGGCTCAGGTCTTCAGGTTCCCAAGTTCGGAGCCCTGTCCCCTTGGCACGTGGAGGGGTTGGCACCAAATACTTGATTCTCATAGCAGATGCGGCATCCCACCCAGATCTCCCTGGCTGGGGCACACACCGTTCTTGGAGGCTCACCCTTGGCTGACAGACGTCTGAGAGGTTATGCCCACCCCCCGGGGACTGATTGCGCAGCAGGACAGCCCTGCCTCTTGCCTTGTGGGACAAACTCCAGGCCACCACACTCCAGAGCTCCCCCTGGGCTGCCGTGGCTTTGCTAGCCGTCCCCGCCCTCGCCTGCCTCCCCACCCCTTTCAGTCAGCACACCCCCAATCAGTCACTCGCATGACAACGGTCACCTCAGGCACTGCTTCGAGGGAGCCTGACCTAAGAGAGTCCGCTGTGCTTGCTCTCTTCCAAGCACTTAGCAAAACTATAAATCATTTGACCATCGTGACAACATCTACGGATATTCCTCATTTCATGGGCACGTTACTAGAGGAGAATTCAGCAAAAGGGGGCACACAGCGTGCCAGTGAAGACAGATGGGAGACCCTCACTGAAGAAGCTTTATCCACATGCCCACTCCCCGTGGCCCCCGGGCCTCTCTGACTCAGAGAAGTGCAGCAGGCCTATTGCATTTCTCTTCCCCCAAATGAGCTAACTAAAGGAAAAGGCCAGAACTTGGGGTGCCCAAGACCTGTTGACAGCACCGTTAGTCCTTTGTGACTTGTAAGGTTTGCCCCAGGCAGCCTCTGGTGGTCCCCGAAGACCTGTGCAGGGAGTTGAGACGGATGAGAAGGCGGGGGTGGAGGAAGGGGGTCCTGACTCCCCAGCACCACCAGGAATTGGGAAGAATGGTACTCGTGTGCTAATTATCAGGGAGAAGAAGGCCCGCCTTTCTTACGGTCAAGCGGGGCTTTCCATGTGGGACTAAAAACAGAGGCACACGCCAGACACTGGAGCGAAAGAAGTCTTTGGTCTGAGCTGAATGCACAATTACGCATTCTTGACTGCCTCTATATTAAAACCACAGCCTCGCCAACGACAAAAGTACAAACATCGCCGTGACCTATCCTCTCAGCAAGATTTCTGGTGGAAAAACAGCTCAGGAAAAATCCACTTAGACTCTGGGTAATTGAGGTGCAGATGCTTGTTCGCTGCCCCGACCTTCTGGGAATTCCCTTTTATGAAACGGTTAAAATGCACTCAAGTACGGCTTGCGGACGATTTTCCTTAAAATGCTTGTCAAGGAGTAAAACCAGCACGCTCTTTGCACGCCAGACGAGCAAACACAGAGTTTGAAGAGTTTTACTCTTTCAGTTAGATTCCGCCTCTGTCCCCACTCCTCTTCCCAAGGATAGTCTTTATTTAAAAAAAAAAAAAACAAGGTACAAAATTCCATCTAGACACATTCGATGCTTGAGAAGCTTCCAGAAAAGGGAGTACCATGAAGGCCACAATCATCGTGTCTAAAATGAGAGAAATAAATACTGCCAAAGGAGTCTTGCTTACTTGTACAAACAATCAAGTGTTCTAGGAAATGACACATTGGCTAATTCTGCACATTGTGCCGAGAGGAAACCGGAAGTGGGCCGGATTGGGTCTGAAGAAGAAATGGCTCATTGTTTGGCATTCTTTAAATGCTAGAATAATTACTCAATTATGTGCACTTCCCATATATTTAAATAATGCAAATCCACAGGCCATGGAGGAGATTAGATGGAGCTCCTGCTCATTCCCGTCTCTCTGGTTTAGGGATTGCGAAGGAAGAGACAAATGCCAAAATCCCTAACTGGGACCCCTCTGCAGCCTCGGCGACTGGAATGGGGACAGGGTGAGGTTTTTCCCTGATGTTTTACTTTGTGGCTTTATGGCTTTAACTTTAGACACTTATTTGACCTGTGATCAGAAAGGCTGTTGTTTAGATTCTGAGTGTGGACAGAGAGCCTGACAGCGCTTTTCTAAATGCATAGCTGCTGCCAGTTTGGAGATTCGGGTTTTTCTCGTTTCCTAATCTTCCACTCCAAAGACGGGCAGGGTCTTCTGGAAAAGTCAGCTGCGTGGATAAGCCAGGCGGTCTGTGTTTGGTCCATTTTAGTGCATTATTCTGCTGTGTGTCAGCTTCTCAGCACCAAGTGGTATTCTTGGAATTGGTCATGGCTGTCATATTGTAGGCGGACTCCATTTATACCTGAGTAATTAAAATTCAGATTAAAAAAAAAAATGTTAGACCAATTTCTCTCCCAAACTTAGAACACTCGGAACCACCCACTTCCTTCCTCTCCAAGTCTCCCCTCCCAAGGCTACATTTTTACCTCTTTTCCTTCCCAACCCATGGGTTATGTTCAACAAAATGCTAACGAGTAAACTGAAAATGTATTCCAGGCAAACCATAATTTTAGGAAGACATAGCTGCCATGAACCAGCGTACTGCGAGATGCTTCCTCCTGGCTGGATTCTCCGGTTCAGGATTATGACTCTGGTCCCCTGTGTATTTGGAAAAAACCGTTTCTTAAACTGCAGACCTCTGCCTTGTGAGCCAAGCCGAGCAGCTTGGAAGTCTCCCGCTTACAGAAAAAGAAGGAGGATTAATGCAACACAGAAAGGAGCAGCCTCTGG